ATACTCCTTGGAATATCCTCCCTAAGTCAAGTCATAATGTTATCCCTAATCAAAAACACCATGCCCCCTACTGTCTTGTCACTCCCCATTCCTTTCTATCTTTCCTCTAGTATCTATACCCTAGAACATTAAGCTGTCATTCCTGACCACCCCGAGCCACGTCTTTGTAATAGCTATGATACCCCAATCCCATGATCCCAACTATGCCTTGGGTTCATCTGTCTTACCTGTCAATCCTCTTGCATTGACATAAATGCATTTTCATTTATCAGTTTGACCTTGTTCTCTGATTTCCTCCGGTTGCATTGACTACTTGACTTGCTCCTTTTCCCAACTGCACCAGCCTCAGACTGATCCCTGTTCTCACTATCACTCTACACCCACCGATCCCCCACCTTCCACCTCCCTCCTGGGGGCTGTGGCAAATCTCCCAGCCAGTATATTAGTCCTCATCCAATCCAGGCACAATCTATCTTTCTTTAACAAGTCACATCTACCCCAGAAGAGATTCCAATGATCCAAAAATTTAATTTTCCCATGCACCAGCTCCTCAGCCACTCGTTCATCTGCTTTATCCACCTATCCCTACTCTCACTAGCACGTAGCATCAGGAGTAATCCACATATTACTGCACTCGAGGGCCTACTTTTTAACCTCCTACCTATCTTCTGATATTTTCTCCTCAGAGCCTAGGTCTTTTCTCTTCCTATGTCGTTGGTTCCAATGTGTACAGCAACCTCCTGCTGATCTCCCCCTCCTTTAAGAACCTTCTGCACCCTCACTGAGGCATTCTTGGCCCTGGCACCAGGGAGGCAATACACCACTCTAGTGTCTCATTGCCAGCCACAGAAACATTTATCTGTATCTCTGAACAGAGACACCCCTATCACAATCGATTGCTTGGAACCTGACCTACCCCTCGTTACATTAGAGTCAGTCTCAGTAGCAGAAACTTGGCTGTCAGTGCTGCATTCCTCTGAAAGTCCATCAGCCCCTACAATTTCCAAAACAGCATACCTGTGTTTATAGTATTAATTCTTCTCCTTTTTCCTTTGAATAGTTTTTAATGTTGAGATGCTTTTAGTGTCTTCTACTGTGAAAACTTCTGAAAAATATTTATTCAACTCCTCTGCAAATTTCTTGGTTCCCAATTAGAATTTCCCAGCATTATTCTTGAAGGGGCCTATGTTCACTCTCGTTTTTTTCTTCCTTTTTATATATTTGCTCCCTGTCTTGATATTACTAGCGAGTTTACAATCAAAAGTGTATTTTCTCCTACTTTATATTACTTTTCAGTCGTCTTGTGATTGGTTGGCTGCCTGAGCAGGTTCGTTATTCAGCAGACGTTTCATTACCCTGCTGGGTAATATCATCAGTGCAGCCTTCGATGAAGCACTGTTGTGTTTTTCCACCTGATATTTAAACCCTGGTGTTCGTTGAGCTGGATTATCTCACTTCTGGTTTTCCTTCGCAGTGGAGTATATATAGGGTCTAGCTCTATGTGTTTGTTGATGCTTCTCAGTGGACAACCAGGCCTCCAGGAATTCCCGTGGTTGTCTCTGTTTGGTCTGTGCTAGGATCCTGGTGTTGTCCCAATCGAGCTGGTGGTTTTCTTTATCCATGTGGATGGACATGAGTGATATTTTTTGTGTCTTTTTGTTACTAGTTGGTGGTCATGTTTTCTTGTGGCTAATTTTCTTCCTGTCTGTCCAATGTAATGTTTGTCGCAGTCTTTGCGAGGAATTTTGTCTATAATATTGTTTCTGTCCATAGTGGGTAAGGGGTCTTTGGTTTGGGTTAGCAGTTGGCATAGGGTTCATGTGGGTTTATGAGCTACTCTGATGCCCAGTGGTCATAGGAATCTTGTGGTCAGTTCAGATATGTTCTTGATGTATGGTAACGTGATGAGTGTGTTAGGGGCCACCCAATCCACTCAGCCCAAGAGTTCCTCAATTCCCTCAAGGACATAAGAATAGACGATGATGAGATCATGGTTTCATTTGACGTTACTGCCCTATTCATATCGATAGACATACCACTAGTAAGAGAAACACTAGCAACACTACTAAAACAAGAATGAGACCCAAGTGACACCATCTCCACAGACAACATGCTGGAATTACTGGACCTATGCCTCAAAACCCACTTTACCTTTAATGGCCAAATCTACGAATGGATCAATGGGACACCCATGGTGTCACCTCTCTCCAGACTGATTGCAGAAGCAGTGCAGACTCGAAAGCATGGCCCTTCCGCTAATCCAACCGAAACTATGGATCCGATACGTGCACGACACCTTCATCATTATTAAGCGGACCAAACTAGAGGAGACACACCAACTAATAAACAACACTCTTACCGGGATCAAATTCACCAGGGAAGAGGAAAAGAACAAACAGCTCCCATTCCTGGACATCATGGTGGAATGCAGGACCAACGGGGAATTCCTAGCAAAGGTACACAGGAAAGTCACACACAGTGACAAAGTACTGAATTTCAACAGCAACTGCCCTAACACCCACAAACAAAGTTGCGTGAAAACACTATTTAAATGAGCAAGAGCACACTGCAGCAACACAGAACTACACCAAAAAGAAGAAGAATACCTCCTCCAAGCATTCAAGGACAATGGATACCCGAACAACTGGGTCAGAAGATACCTATGACACGAACAACAACAGGAAGATACTGCATGCCCCGACACACTCATCACGCTATGTTACATCAAGAACACATCTGAACTGACCACAAAACTCCTATGACCACTGGGCATCAGAGTAACACACAAATCCACATCAACCCTATGCCAACTGTTAACCCGAACCAAAGACCCCTTACCCACTATGGACAGGACCAATGCCATAGACAAGATTCCCTGCAAAGATTGTGACAAACATTACATTGGACAGACAGGAAGAAAATTAGCCAGAAGAATACATGGACATCAACTAAAAACAAAAAGACATGACCAATGCTCACTCATCTCCATCCACATGGATAAGGAAAACCACCACTTCGATTGGGACAACACCAGGATTCTGAGACAGGCCAAGCAGAGACAAGCACAGGAATTCCTAGAGGCCTGGTTCACCACAAAGAAGACCATCAACAAACACATAGAGCTAGACCCTATATATACTCCGCCGTGAAGTAACGGAGACAATGAATTACTCCCACCATCGTCTTCTTCCCCTTTTTCTTCATTCCCTTCACCCACATGGTATGCTGAACCACAGAATCAGAGAATCAAACAGGACAGAAGATGCCCTTGAACCCATTGAGTCTACACCAACAAAAAAATTGCTCTAAATCTGCACTAGTCCTACTTTCCAGCATTTGGCCCATAGCCTTGAATCTTATGGTGGTTCAACTGCTCATCCAAGTACTGTTAAATGTTTCAGCTTTTTTCCTCTATTACCCTCCCAGCAGTGTATTTCAAATTCCCACCACCTTCTTGTTGAAAGAAGTTTCCTCAAACCCTCAAGCTTTCACATAAGATTATGTCCCATCATTATTGACCTTTCAGTCAAGGGGCCTAACAATTGTGAACATTGGTAACGCTCCAACTGTGCGTCCAGATCAGTCACCACACATTCGAAAGAATGTGAAAGACCTTGAGAGCGTGCAGATTTACTAGAATTATTCCAGGGAGGTCTTGGAGTATTTAGGGTTGGGAATTGGAGACTGGTTTTAGTTACAAGGTTTGAGAAGCAAAGGTTGGTCTCCTTGGAGCTGAGGAGATTGAGAGGAGATTGGATTGAGGTGAAGATGATAGTGACAAGTGAAGAGAAAGTAGGACAAGCGAAAGGTCCATCCATTAGCTGTTGGGACAAGGATGCAGGCCTTACATTTTGCGCCAGAGATGAAGAGGCAATGTGAATTTTTTACACAGTGTGTGCTGATGGCTGACAGTCGCTAACATCAACAGAGGTGCACGTGGAAATAGTCATTGATTTCAAAAGAAATACTGACAGGCACTTGAGGGAAACAAATTGGAAGGCCTTGTGGGAATCGAGCTGTTGAGTGCACTTCACCTGGATTGTTCCACATGGAGCTAGCCAGGTCCCAGTGGAGAAAATGACCTCCTTCTTGATGTCAATCCAATGATTGGCAGAGGTTGAGGACAAGATTAGGCAAGCACCTTCCAATCCATTGTTGTGTGAGCACATTGTAGAACTTCAGGTCTCATTGGTTGAGAATATGTGAAAAGCCACCTCCCTGACTTCCATTGGCTGAGAATTTCAGAGTGTTGCTGCTGCCTATCCTGATTGGTTAAGAGTCAAGCGAGATTGAAACTTCCAAGATCCTGAGTGGTCTTGACAGAGTAGATGCTGAGAGGATTTGGGTGAATTTGGAACTCATTTCAAAATAGGATGGAGATGACGAGTGATTCCTCTTTCAGAAGATGATTAATTTTTAAAGATGGTGCAGCAAGAGGCTAATTCCTTCCATCCCCCACCCGCCGCAACCCAACATCTAAAGAGATGGTTAGTGCTGCAGGAAATCTTAATCTTTAATAGACCTCAATCAAACTGTGTTCAGGTCACAGTTTGGAATTAGTGAAATATCACACTCAGGTTAATATCAGGAATGTTCCCCTTCGCACCGGCATATGTTCAATCAGGAATGGGATTTGTGGACAGAGTGAAGGGGCACAGTGTGAAGTGTAGGGCTGGGGAACAAATAACAAACACATTTAGTGAAGGTGGGAGGGATGTTAGGCTCAGGATAAATGAATTCAGGTGGGTTCAGTGCATTTTCTGATCCATAATTATCTTGTGAATGAGTACCTGTATCTCAAAATGAAGGGTTGGAGAGGCAGTGATTTTCATCAGGGTGAGTACTTTAGGAGACAATAACAGGCAGGTCCAGACCCGTAATAAATATAAGTGGGGCATTTAATTACTCATTTTATTGTGAAGTTGAAAGAAAGGTAAGAAATTGAATTGAGAACTTCTGCATACTGACCTCATCCATTCTGATGTTTGTCCTTTCCTCAGCTGCTCAGGGAAGTGTCTCAATGGTGAGTGGAACAGACAGAGATTCAGTTACTTTACCCTGTATCTTCATGACAAGAGACTCGAACACCCTGTCCACTGTTACCTGGATGAGGAAGGAGACCTACCAACACATTGTTACATTTACAGCCCAATCACAGGGAAATTGGACAATTGTAAAAGGTGGAAATCGGTACCAGCTCGTCAGGAACCCAGAGGATAAACCAGCTGAGTGTGAGCGACAATCACACTTACCTGTGTCAGGTGGAATACAGGTCAAGACTCGATTACCAGTATCTGATCCAGAAAGAGATACGGCTGTAGGTACATGGTAAAAAATCTTTTCGTGGGGAGGCAATGGCTGGTGGTATTATCGCTGGACTGTTATTCCAGAGACACAAGTAATATTTTGGGAATGAGATTCAAATCATACCATGTCAGATGGTGGAATTTGAAATCAATAAAATTCTCAAAGCAGCTGCCTCCTTCAAAGATTGTTCGGATCTGTAATTCACTGCCTGAAAGGGTGGTGGAACCAGACTCAATTGGGGGATCTTTCAGAATACAAGTGGGTAAGTATTTGGAAAGGAGCATGTTACTTGGTTATAGGAACGGCAAGGGAGAGGGACTCATGGGTTTGGTCCACCAAAGAATGTCCAGTTTATTCATTTAATCTCATGCTCTGGAACCCTGCTGCAAATTTCACTCCAGTAAGACTTAGATATTACTGACCAATGTTGTTCTTGCTGTTTTTCAGCAAAGAGGACTGAGTCCACCACTGTATATCTGCTGACCATTCCATTGCTCATCCAGCTGATCATCATTTTCATCATCGTCATCATCTTCATTATTTTCAGGAAGAAAGGAGGTGGGTTCTGTAGGGAGTAAAGTTTAATAAAACAATATGTTTCTGTGTTTGAAACAGCAACAAACAATGACCCTGGGTTAAATTTCCCTTACCGACACTCTCCTCTTCAGTAGATTCTGTGAAAACACTGGCTTTGTCTTTAGTGGCTGGGTGAAAGTGGCCTGTTTGATAGCATCAGCCACTATCTGACGTCTGTCTCCTGTTTGAGCTTTCTTGTGAATGATTTAACATTGAGGCTGTTTCACTAGCAAGGCCATTCATAACCATTCTATTGAACTCTGATGGATGAATCCCCATTCCTCTCCCCATTACTGTCAAATCTGAATACACCAAAATTTCTTTTCAGTTGCCTGAATCCCAAACAGACTGCACCTTTTCCATTCATTCCCACTCAGTACAGAATCTCAATAGAAGAGAGAGGAAGCTGCAACTCAAAACAATTACCTTATTTGTTTTTATTGGTAAAATTGCTTTGGAGAGTTTGCTGCATAAAGGCAACATGGTAGCTCGGAATGAATGGGTAACAGAGTGATATCTGGGGTTGAATGGTAATATGGACACTGCTTGTGCAGTGGGTGCAATGTGCAGGCACTGATCTGTTTTGGGGCTGCCCTCATGACCTATCTTTGCCCTGGCTGAGTAAATTGAAAATGCAAACTCTTTTTGAATACAGGAGTTACATTTGCTATTTTTGAACGAAGTAGGACCTCCCTGAAACTAGGGAATTTTGGGAAATTTAAGCAAATTGTTCAACTTTCCCAGCAGCTAATCTTTAAAGCCCCTGAGATGAAGTCCATCATGGACCCAGGAGGCCGTCAGCCCACAGCTTCAATGATTTAGTCAGGACCACTTCTCGGGTGATTGTAATTTTCTTGAGCTCCTCCTTATTTTCATTGACTGTTTTACAGTGCTTCTGGAATGTTATTTGTATCCCCTATCCTGAAGACTGAGGTAAAATATCTGTTTAATTCATCTGCCATTTCCGTGATTAATTCTGCAGACTCACTTTCCACATAAACCACACTCATGTTGTTTTTAAAATATCTCAGTGTAAAGTTGCCATTGTCCGAGAGGACCATAGAGTTGTTCTATGATCAGAGTGAGAGGTGGCTGGTGGTGTGTCTAACCTGATGGTCACCTTATGTTAAATAAGGGGCCAGCTTAAAGGAGGGACTTTTACGGTAAGTTCGGCTGATGTAGGAATTGAACCCATAGTGTTGGACTGAGCTATGGAGGTCACTCTTGAGTAAAGGCTTTGGTATCAGATAAGATTCTAGAGGTCTCTATCTAATTATGCGAAATATATAGATTATTAATAAGGGATGGTTTCACTTGAGACACTGCCAACTGTGGAGACAATGTGGCAAATCTGTTCATAATTTAATAAAATATTCACTCGTCTTCTTTGTTTCTTTAGGAGGTTCTCAGCAAATCGAACAGACCTCACCTTCGAAGAGGTATGGTAATTAGTGATTGGTACAAGCATCGTGGTAAAAATGCTGTGGTTCAGAGTTGAATTGAACACCTCTTGTTCGCAGACAGAATGCAGCCCCCTGCTGATGAGCTGCTAATGTAGTGCCTACAACCCAATGGTCTCAATATGGACTTTACCAGTTTCAAAATCTCCCCACCCCCGGACTCATCCCATGACCAACACTCCATCTCATCCCCGCTTCCTTGACCTGACACAACCTGTCCATCTTCTCTCCCACCTATTTGCTCCTCCCACCTCACTGACCAATCCTCACCACTGCTTACCTGCGCTCACCTATCACCATCCCTGTTCTGAGGAAGGGTCACCGGACTCGAAACATTAACTCTGTTTTTTTCCTTCACAGATGCTGCCAGACCTGCTGGGCTTTTCCAGCAACTTTGTTTTTGTTCCATCCCACCTACCTTTCCCAGGCCTGCCTCTCCTCTTTCTATTTATTTCGGAGCTCCCTTTCCCCCTTCCCCATTTCTGAAGAAAGGTACCGACCCGAAAAGTCAAATTTCCTGCTCCTCTAATCCTGCCTGGTCTGCTGTGTTCCTTCAGCTCCACACTGTGTTATCTCTGACTCCAGCTTTGGCAGTTCTTACTATCTCTGCTAATGTGGTTTGTGCTTTTAAGAAAGTACTTGATCACTCAGTGTGGGAAAGTGAACTCGATAGACAGAGAGGTAAATGACAGGTTTATCATTTCTGAGCAGAATTTGTCAATTTCCATCTGTTTGTGAATCTCCAGCTCCAGATTCACCTGCAATCCCACTTCCCCAAATTAACCTGCAATTTACCCTCGTGTAAAACCAAACTGTTGCTAATTTTTAGCCCAGTGGACACTTTGAGTTATAATGAATGTTCTATGGAGGGAAAGATTGAAATGTTATCACTTGCATCGACTGCTGATTATAACATGGAGGTTTTTGTGAATCCTTCTATTTTCTCCCTTGCTGTTGAAACAGCTTAATTTCCATTGGGTGAGGGTGTGGTTTCCTGATCTTTGTCCACTTTCCAAGCTTTCCAAGCCCTGTAACCTCCTCCAAAGTTGCAACAGATGAGAATACCTGCAGGAATTTTCCTGTCATCTCCAATACCCTCCCTCCCTGTCCTGTAACTCGTTGCTCAAAGCTGACCCAGAACTTCCTGGAATCATCAGTCACTGTGATTCCTGAGAGTTTCTGCAGCCCTCCCTGTGTTACAGCTGCTGACTACACCTTGGGTTCCATGGGTGCCAGCCACATTCTGGTGCCAAGGTAAGATTGTTTCTGGTGACGACTTATTCAAGGGTGACATTTCTGATTGTGTCTAAATCTGAACATCTGTGATTTCTATGTATATCATCCTTAGGAACCTGCTCTGTCTATAAGCAGAGCAGGTGATTGATCTATAGGCAGAATGCTCCTGATAGTGACCTGGAAGAATGCAATTAGTTTGCAGTCCCAGCAGCTGCCTGCTCCAGGTACTGACTGTGCTCTAACTGACCGATCAATGTCCATTTCCCACACTGTAACAGAGAGAGTGTGAAGCATCAAGTCAGTGAGATTCTTGGATAGATATTCAGGGGCAGACTTTTATATTGAGTTCAATAGCACAGAATAAGGCCCTTTCGCCACATTGAGACTGCATTGTTCGAAAACTATCCTTAACCCGAACCCTAATCCTTCACACTGATTGCACAGATTGTGCCCTTGATAGTTGAAATTTTTAATTCTTATACCATTCAATGTAATGGAGTGAAAAGCAGTGTGTTTGTATTAAGGGAGCCTATCAGGCTGTTTAGATTATAGCCCGAGCAATGGAGCTGAAAATCCTCTCCTCAATCACTGACTGTGAATGGATTCTTGGATAATAACCATTTCCGATTTCCGGAATTGTCTGGCTGAAAGGCTGGCGACGCCCGGTCATAGTCATAGAGCCAGAGAGCCATATAGCACGGAAACAGACCCTTCGGTCCAACCAGTCCATGCTGACATTAATCCCAAGACAAAACTAATCGCACCTGCCTGTGCTTGGCCCATATCCCTCCAAACATTTGTTATTCATGCACTTACCCAAATGCTTTTTAAACATTGTAACTGTACCAGCATGTGTTCCATATATGAAACACTCTCTGTGTAAAAAAATTGCTCGTCATGTCTCTTTTGAATTTTTCCCCTCTTACCTGAAAAAAATATGCCCCTTCGCCTTGAAATCCCCCACCTTAGGGATAAGACGCCTGCCACCATATCCCTCATGATTTTATAAACCTTTAAAAGGTTATCCCTCAATCACCTTAGCTCCAGTGAAAAAAGGTCCCAGTCTCTACCATAATGAAATGTTTGTTCCTTGCTGTCTCGAGTTGTTCATGGCCAGTCTGTGTGCTGCTTCTGTAAGGGTCAGGGAAAAGAGTGCAGTTGAGTGTCATGCATCCCAAATGACTCCCAGTAGCTGGGCTGTTGAAGAGAACCTGAGGATTAGGTTCATGTTCTAGGGAGAAGGGTTCAATTCTCACCATGGTAACTTGTGCAATTTGCATTTGATTAATAAATTTGCAATTGAAACCTTGTCTCCATGACCATCTGAACAATTATCAATTATTTTTTAAAAATTCCAGTTCACTAATGAATCTGGCCTATAGCTGACTTCAGATCCCCATTTCAAACTTAGTTGTGTCCTTTTAGGACAGATTGAATGCAATGTGTGTGACTCTGAACTGCCCTCTGAAATGGCCAACCAAGACTCTCAGTTCAAGGGCAATAAGGGATGGGCAACAAATGCTGGCCTTGCCAGAGAGATCCACTACCCTAGGAAATGACCTTGGCTATTCACCCTATCCATGCCCCTCATGATTTTATAAACTACTATAATGTCACCCCTCAGCATCAGATGCTCCAGGGATAGTAGCCACAGCCTGATCAGTCTCTCCCTGTAGCTCAAACCCTCCAATCCTGGCAACATTCTTGTAATAAAACCCCTCACGTAAGCAAGTTAAGCCTCACAACTCAGCTTAGCTATTGCCAATTAATTTAGCTACGTTTTGAACCAATAGTGTCTGTCTCTGGATGTCTAAGGTTTGATTCTTGTTCTGCCCAGCTTGCCCACCTGCTCCTCATGAGATAACCCGCTTATCAATCCAGTCAAACTCCTCTGAATCAGCACCAATATGACAATATTGTGCAGCACCATTTGACAATAAAGAATATTCGATATTTAATATCCTTCATTAATAAAGTATTCAAGATGTGGTCTGAGAAAATGCCCTGCAAACTGAAGCAAAACCCTTTTTGCACTTGTATCCAATTCCTCCTTTATTCGGAATAGCATTTTGTTAACCTTCCTGATTACATGGTGTACCACTGTTCTAAATTTTTGTGACGTCACTCCCACTGCACCTCAGAATTCTGCATCCATTCTCCACTTAAATAATACTCTGCTTTTTTGGCGTGTTTTAGTATTACTGCCCTGCTCAAGTCAATACTGCATCGTTTATACAGGCTAATCCAACTCTCCTGTTCACTGCTTTAAACAGATTAGAACATTGTTATCACATTGTTGTTTGTGGCAGTTTGCAGTGTACGAATTAGTGACTACAAGTATAAAAATATATTGCCTCATCTGTTCTCAAGGGTTATGCAGTGCCCTGATGTCATGAAAGGTGTGATATAAATGCAATTATTTTCATTCTTGTAAATGTAGAAATGCAACAATGAATTTGTGAACAGCAATGAACCACAGACAACAAAGTATTCAATCAGTGAGACTGTATTTTTGTGATCTGGACTGGGGAATGTGTGTTGATGAGGACACAATGATCTGGGTTGAGGGTTGAGTGACAAGGACACAATAGAGAGCTCCTCTGTTTCTTGTTTTGAAGTTACGGGGATGGAATTTTCCACATCCACCTGAAAAGGCAGGCGAGAGCTACCTTTAACATTTCATCCGGAATACAGCACTTCTGACCTTGGAACCCTTTATTAATATTGCTCTGAAGTGTCAGCCTAAGTTTTATGTTGTAGCCTCTAGAGTAGGAACATGGGACCTTCTAACTCAGTGAAGTATGAGGTGTCCACTGAGCCATTGCTGACATCTAAGGACAGACCTGCTGATGAGTATTCCCTTATCAGTCCTATTTGTGTTCCAGATGACAGTTTCAGCTTCTATGGCAAGAGTGACAGCAACAGAACAGGTAAATGGCTGCACCTTAATGGTTTTGAGCTATTGTCTAATTGATATTCAGATTCTATCATCAAACTAAGAGAATTATTTTGTCTTTGTTAAAGGTTGCAAGAGATTCACAGTCAGTGCTTCAGAAGATCATGAGTCATTGTCTGATTTTACACTGGGAAAATACAATATTTGAGATCACCCCCACTCCTCATTATCTTTAGAGGTTGATTTTATTGTGGGTCTGCTAACTTGAGTGGCAAGTGTTTGATGCTGCACCAGGAAACTGTTCAGCTCCTAGGAGTCATGCCTGCCCCACCGTCAGAGATTCACCCCAAATGAGAACTTCCAGTTCAGTTTTAAGTGACCATGAATTCTCCCCTCAAGTATGCTTCATAATGTGAGTCCCAAACAGTACCATTCCCTCAACATGTATTTGTTAAAGGACGGTTGTGTCTGATGAATTTAATTGAATTTTTTAAGGAGTAATGAAGAATGGTTGATTGGGTATTGCACGTTGTCTGTCAGCATTGATGTCAGCAAGGTCTTTGGCAAGGCAGACTTGTCACAAAGTCAAAAGCTCATAGCAACCAACAGCAAGTGGCAAGTTTGATCCAAAACTGGCTCAGTGGCAGGAAGCTGAGGGTTATGGTTAGAGGGTAGTTTTGTGTCTGGTATGCTGTTCCTGCTGAGGTCCCATATTGGTCAGTACTAGTTCCCTCCCAGTTCAGGTTTTATCAATGTTTTGGCCATGACTGAGAAAGAAGCAGACAATGCTGTAGAAAATCAGCAGATCTGGAGAAAAAAGCTGAAGAAAGCTGCAACACGAAAGGACTTGGGGGTAACTTGTGCACACAACAAGGGTGCAGAAGAGATTTACCAGGATGTTACTGGATTTGGCTGCATTAACTACAAAGGGAGGTTGGACAATTTTGGATTGTGTTTTTGTGAGACCGTTGGACTATGAGGGGAGACCTGACAGAAGTCAATAAAATTATGAAAGGCATGGATAGTGTGGATAGTCAGACTTTTTTAACAGAGAGAAAATGTCAAATTCTAGAAGGCATAGTGAGAGGAAAAATTTAAGGGAGATTGATGAAGAAACACAGAGGTTGGAAGGTATCTGGAATGTGCTGCCAGGAGAGGTGGTAGAAGCAGATATATCTGCAACAATTAAGATTCATTTAGACAGATACATGTACAGCAGGAAGAGAGAGGTATGGACCATGTGTAGGCAGATGGGATTAGTGTAGAATGGCATCATAGTCAGTACAGATATTATACACTGAAGGGCTTGTTCCTGGACTGTACTGTTCTATATTTTACGTTCAGAGATCTCAATAAGCAGGCAACAAAAGTCTGCGGTAATTGGTGAAAGGATTAGAATGAAGTTGAGGAGTAAAGCTTTTTGTCAGAGGATTCTGGGTTTTTGGACCTCGCTGCCTGAAAGAGTGTTAGAGGCAGAAACCCTCATCACATTTAAAACCTAGTTGGATAAACACTTGGAAAACATGAACCACCAGGGATATGGCCCAGGAGAAGGAAAGTGGGTTAATCTGCTGAGTTCTTTGTCAATCAGCACATACACAATGGGCTGAATGGCTTCCCATTATTCTGGAATACTTTCAATATAAATCAATCGAAATTGCTGGAGAAATTCAGCAGGTCTGGCAGCACCTGTGGAGAGAAAACAGAATGAATGTTTCAAATCTGTTGTCTCTTCTTCAGAACTGTTTGTAGCTGGAGAAAAGTGGAATATATGCTGAATACAGTGAGTGGGGGAGAGTGAAAGGAGTGAGTGGATAGGCAGAGATGGAGCCCACAGAGAGAGAGAGAGAGAGAAAGAGAGAGATGGTCAAATGGGATGCAAAGGAGACAGGAAAGCTTATAATGCAAACAATAAGTAGGTGAAAATGGTTTGGCCATGCTGAAAACAGCCCAAATCATGACAGGGCCGGGTATGTGGGGATGGATAAAGGACATGGGATGGGGTGGCCAGGCTCTAAAATTGTTGAGAACTCAACAATGAAGCCTGAAGGCTGCAGGATCCCCGAGTGGAAAATGAGATGCTGTTCTTCCAGCTTGTGCTGAGCCTCACTGGAGCACTGCAGCAAGCCCAAGACAGAGATGTTGGCCGGGGAACAAGGTTGTATGTTGAAGTGGCAGGCAATTCAATCTTGGGGCCATTTTTATGAAGAGAATGTTCTGCAAAGTGTTCACGCAGTTTGTGCCTTCTTTCCCCAATGTTGAGGAGACCACATGGTGAGATGCAAATGCTGTGGACTAGATTGAGTGAAGTGCAGGCAAATCGCTGTTACACCTGGGAGATTTGCCTGGGGCCTTGGATAGTGAGAAGGGGATAGTGAACAGGCAAGTGTTGCATCTTCTACGATTGCATGGGAAGGTGCTGTAGAGTTGTGAGGAGTGTTGGGAGTGGAGGAGGAATAGACCATGGTGTTCCAGAGGGAACAGTCCCTGAGGAAAGCTACCAAGGGAGGGAAGGGGAGGGGAATGTATATCTGGTGGTGGCCTCCTGCTGGAGGTGTCAAAAATGGTTGTTATTGATCCTATGGGTGTGGGTGTTCGTGAAAGGGCTGGTGAGGACAAGGGGACCCTATTCCTGTTGTTGGAGGGAAGAAAAAGAATGACGGCAGAAGTGTGGGAGATGGGTCAAACACAGATGAGGGTCCTGTCAACTGCAATGGTGGAGAATCCTCAGTTGAGGGAAAGGGTGGACATTTCTGAGGCCCCACACATGGAAGGTGGTATCATCAGAACAGATGTGATGGAGAAACTGGGAGAATGGAATTACAAAGGGAAAGGAAGAGTCGCAGATGGATCAGTTGAAAGTGAGAGCAAAGTGGGAGTTGGAAGTAAAATTGACAAATTGTTCCAATTCTATATGAAAGACAGAAGTGGCACTGATGATGTCATCCATGTACCAGAGAAAGAGCTGTGGGAGGCACCTGAGAAGGACTGGAACAAGGAATGTTCCACTCACCCCATAAAGAGACCGGCATAACTAGGGCCCCAAGTGGTTATCCATGGCTACACCAGTGAAGAGGATGTGGCTGGAGTCCACTAAATGGTAATTCTGAAACTGCCATAAAGTGCCAATGATTTGTGGAGGTCGTTGGGAAGGGATGGACAAGGTGAGAAAAAAAGATCAAGTCAAGGTCAGAAGAGAGAAGTTCCATCTGGCAGGAAGAAGCAGGAACAATGGATCTGCCTTGTCAGTTCTGTTTGTAGATTTTGGTAAGGAGGTGGAAGCAGGCTGTACAGGATTGGGGAATGTGACATTGGAGGCTGTGGGTGGTGTGGGGAGATCCATATAAAATGAGATTAGTGATTTTTTTTTCTTTATTCATTCATTGGATGAGGGTGTCACTGGCTAGGCAGCATTTACTGCTCTTCCCTCATTGCCCAGAGGGCAGTTAAGAATCAATCACATTGCCGTGGGTCTGTAGTCACATGTAGACCAAACCAGGTAAGGAAGACACTTTCCTTCCCTAAAGGACATTAGTGAACTAGATGGATTTAATTGTCATGGACACAACAGCCTGAGAGCAGTCAGTTCAGAACAAGTTAGTGCTGAATAGATGTGGCGGGGGGCAGAGAGTCAGAAAAATTAAAGCGACCAATGTCATGTCAGCAGTTCTTGATGACAAGGAGGAGTGCAGGTAAAAGGCCAGAGCGAGGGATCCAGGTGGAGGGAAAGTGTTGGAGGTGGGTGAAAGGGTCTATGGGACAGGGAGAGGGTTCTTGTTCAAAGAAATGGGCACAGAGGCGAAGGTGATGGAAGAAGAGTTCAGCGTCACGGGATGTCCGAAATTCCTTGAGGTGGGGCTGCACAGTAATTAAAACTTTGAGTACAAAATGTCCAGCATCAGGGAGTGGAAGGTGAGAAGGGATAGTAAATGCCCGGCAAGAGATGAAGTTAGGAAAATGGGTGGAGACAAGTGCGACGGGGAGGGGAGGAAGGTTCCAGAGGGGAGTGTGTTCCTCTGAGTTTTTACAGCTTGTGTTCCTTAATGCCTGAAGGGAAGAGAAAATGTTAATGAGCCGGAGAATGAAGCGGAGCTGGGGTTGGGTTAGGACAGCTCTGAGCCAGCATGAGGCAGTGCTGATGGAGAGAGATGACACAGATGTGCATTTGACGGCACATGGCACTGAGTGTGGATCTCAGGATGTGGTGAGAGCAGCTGTCTTGAGGGGTGTAGTACATCACGGAGAAACCTATGATCCTGGGTGGATTCAAAACACAAAGTATGAAACACTTACAGCTGCTTGTGTGAACTAATGACTATTCCCCTCCCACCAATCCTTTACATGCTGTCCAACCACAACCATTTTCCCTTATTGAGGGTTGTGGGTAAAAGGTGGGAACTGAGCTAAAATGAGATCCGTCAAGATCTTAAAGAATTGTTGAGAAAACTTGATGAGCCTTGTGACTTGCTCCTGCTGCTGAGTAAGCTGTATGTATCTTCTTTAAGTTGAACCTGATGAGATTCAAAGTTAGTGGTTATGTGGTTTTGAAATTGGTTTCGAGCCAGAAAGCAAAGAGCTGTGGTGCGCGGTTGTATTACAGACTGAAGGAAGTGTGCAGTACTGTTGATATAATGCTATTCGTGATCTATGTGAACGATCTGCACTTGTGGAATTAGGACAAAATTCAATGTTTGCAAATGACACAAAATTCAAAAACATAATGAAGAGTGAGGAAGAAAAGCAAGGATGGACATTTCTAAAACATCAGTTCGAGCCCAGGTGGAGAATCATGACCAATTTTGTGTATTATACTTTTGGGAAGATGTTTTTGTGCAAAACAGATTAATCGAATGGTTCCAGAGAAGAAAGACTTCAGTTCTTTGGAGGAACTGGTGTTGCTTTTAGAGCAGTGAAGATTCAGGGGAGATTTGATTGAGCTGTGCCAATTCAAGAAGACTGTTTCTAAAGAAAGTCATGAGAAACTATTTCCAGTGGCAGGACAGTCAGTGAGTAAATGTACAGATAAAGATGATTGAGAAAAGAACCAGAGGTCACATGACAGAGGCAATGCGCAGAATTAGGAAAGAACACAGGGAGTGTGACTAATTTCAAACGGCTGGCACAGGCACAGTGGGATGAGGGGCCTCCTCTTGTCATGTATGATGCTACCAAACAGGAAGCAGATATTACCTATTTTGCTGCCACATTG